TATTTAATTTTTTGTCAATATATGTGTATTCACAAAAAAATGTTAAATTATCGTGTTTTTTTAATTTTTCTTGCCGTGATGTGTGTATTAACACACACACAAGAAAATCTTATATTTTGATTTTTTTTTAATTTTCTTGGCAGGATATGTGTATTATTAACACACACACAAAAAAAAATGTTAAATTTTTGTGTTTCTTAATTTTCTTGTTAAGATGTGTGTATTAACACACACATAAGAAAATATAAAAGTTTTGAGTTTTTTTTTTAATTTTCTTGTGAATATAAGTGTACTTTCACACATACAAAAAAAGTTAAATTTTTTGAGTTTTTTAATTTTCTTGCCAAGATGTGTATACTAACACACACACGAAAATGTTAAATTTTTGAGAAAGAAGGATTGGGGGATAGTCGTGGAGATTCTTGTAATGTTTCAGCTAACATTTAATTGACACATCTTTCATTTTTTATAACACACACACACAAAATAAGTTATATTTACAAATTTTTCAATTTTTTTGCCAAGATTTTTCTATTAACACACACAAGGAAATATTATATTTTTGAGGTTTTTTTAATCTTCTAGTCAAGATATGCGTATTAACACACACACAAAAAATATTAAATTTTGAAGTTTTTTTGTTTTCTTATCAAGATGTGTGTATTAACACAAACACAAAAAAATGTTGAATTTTCGAGTTTTTTAATTTTTTGTCAAGATGTGTGTATTAACACATACACACACACACAAACACACTCACACAAACACACTCACACAAACACACACAAAAACAAGAAATGTTAAATTTTTGAATTTTTGAATTTTTTTGCTAAAATGTGTGAATTAACACACAAACAAGAAAATATTAAATTTTCGAGTTTTTTTATAATTTTCTTTACAAGATATGTATATTAACACACACAAGGAAATGTTAAATTTTTGAGTTTTTTTTTAATTTTCTTATCAAGATATGTGTATTAATACACACACAAAAAATAATTAAATTTTCGAGGTTCTTTCAGGGAATTTCTCCCTCAAGTTTGGAGGAAAATTCTTTTATTTATTGTGAAGATATATGTATTAACACACACACACGAGAAAATATTAAATTTTTGAATTTTTTTTGAATTTTCTTCTTATGATATGTATATTAACACACACACAAAAATTGTTAAATTTATATTTATTTAAATTTTCTTGCCAAGATGTGTGTAATAACTCACACACAAGAAAATGTTAAATTTTGGAGTTTTTTTTTAATTTTCTTGTCAAGATATGTGTACTAACACACACAAAAAATATTAATTTTTTTTAGTTTTTTAATTTTTTTTTGCCAAGATGTGTGTATAAACACACACACAAGAAATGTTAAATTTTTGAGTTTTTATTTTATTTTTCTATTCAAGATATGTGTATTAACACACACAAAAAAAATTTAAATTTTCAAATTTTTTTATTTTTTTGCCAAAATGTGTGTATTAACACACACACACACACACACACACACACACACACACACACACACACACAAAAACTGTTAAATTTGCGAATTTTTTTATTTTCTTGCCAAATGTGTGTATTAACACACACACAAGAAAATGTTAAATTTTTGAATTTTTATTTTATTTTTCTAGTCAAGATACTTGTATTAACACACATACAAAAATGTTAAATTTTTGAATTTTAAAATTTTCTTTCCAAAATGTGTGTATTAACACACACACAAGAAAATATTATATTTTCGAGGTTTTTTCATCTTCTTGTCAAGATATGTGTATTAACACACACAAAAAAATATTAAATTTTAAAGTTTTATTTTATTTTCTTGCCTAGATGTGTGTATTAACACACACAAGAAAATGGTATATTTTTGAGTTTTTTTTAATCTTCTTGTCAAGATATGTGTATTAACATACACACACAAAAATATTAAATTTTGAAGTTTTTTTATTTTCTTGTCAAGATGTGTTTATGTTAATACACACAAGAAAATATTAAATTTTCGAGTTTCTTTCTGTGAATTTTTCCTTCTTAAGTTAGCAGGACTATTTTTTTTTATTTTCTTGTCAAGATGTGTGTATTAACAAACACACAAGAAAATATTAAATTTTGACTTTTTTATAATTTACTTGTCAAGAAATGTATATTAACACACACACAAGAAAATGTTAAATTTTCAATTTTTTTTGATAATTTTCTTGTCAAGATATGTGTATTAACACACACAAAAAATGTTACGAATTTTTTAATTTTTCTTGCTAAGATGTGTGTACTAACACACACAAGAAAATATTATACTTTTGATTTTTTTTTAATTTTCTTGTCAAGATGTTTGTATTAACACACACAAAAAAGAAAATGTTCAATTTCTGAGTTTTTAAAATTTTCTGTAAAGATATGTGTATTAACACACGCACACACAAAATGTTAAATTTACTAATTTTTTATTTTTACTTGCCAAGATGTGTGTGTATTAACACACACAAAAAAATGTTATATTTTCGACTTTTTAAATCTTCTTGTTAAGATATGTGTATTAACACACATACAAAAAAATACTAAATTTTATAGTTTTTTTATTTTCTTTCAAAGATGTGTGTATAAAGACACACACAAGAAAATGTTAAATTTTCGTGTTTCTTTATGTGAATTTTTCCTTCCTAAGTTTGCAGGACTAATTTTTTTATTTTCTTGTCATGATGTGTGTATTAATAAACACACAAAAAAATGTTAAATTTTTGAGTATTTAATTTTTTTGTCAAGATATGTGTACTTGCGCTACGCTGCGGGATATTTTTTCTATGTTTTGTATATATTTAAAATATAATAAAATTATTTTTATAATATAAATAAGTATTGTATTTATTTTTTTATCAGCTAAAGTTATGTATTTATATGTTTTAAATCTGATAAATTTTGTATATTTTTTATTTTTGAAAATTATAATTTGCTCTTAAATTTGTTTAGCTAACTAATTATTAATGTATATGTAAGAATAAAATAATATATTTTCAGTACCTTTATGCTAATGGTAAATATAATCTATTTTCTCCAATAAATTGCTTGATCCTTCTTTGTAATTATATAAAGCAAAGTGCTATTTTTTTAAAAAAAAATATTAATTAATATGATTATCGTGAATTATTAAATTTATTTATCTAATAAATATTTATTATAAACATATATTTCTAAAACTACCGAACTATAATAAAAAACAGCCATATCAAAATCATTGCTATTGCTTTAGAACTAAATAGAAAATTATGTTTGAACTCTTAAAATAAAGTTTTAGTTAAAGTTAAATAATTAAATTTTGGTAATTGTAACATACTTTAATTTAGAAATTTAGCATAGAGAAATTTTATCTTCTTACAAAAACCGGAAATCGCATTTCTCGTCAAAACCAAAAAAAATCATTTTCTCATGAAACCGAAAAATCGCCTATTCCCGCCAAAACCGAAAAAAAAATATTTTCTCGTCAAACTTAAAACCTAAAATTTTATTTTCCCACAAAAACTTGTGTTATCCACCAAAACCAAAAAATCACGTTTTTCACTAAAACCAAAAAATTTCATCTTTCTGCAAAAACAAAAAAAAAAAATCATATTTTCTCGTCAAAACCAAAAAAAATATTTACTTGCAAAAACCGAGAAATCGTCTATTCCCGCCAAAACCAAAAAATTCATTTTTCTCGTCAAACCAAGAATCACGTTTTTCTATCAAAACAGATAAATTATAATTTCACGCAAAAACCAAAATTACATTATCTTCCGAGAAATTGTGTTTTTCTGCGAAAACTAAGAGATTATACACATTATTCGTCAAAAACTGAAAATTTGTATTTCCCATATAAACCGAGAAATTGCTTATTCCCGCCAAAACCTAGAAATTTTGTTTTTCCATCAAACCGAGAAATTGTATTTTCCGCCAAAATCATTAAATTGCAATTTCCCGTGAAAACAAATAAATCACATTTTTGCGTGAAAACCAATAAATCGGTCAAAAATCGAAAATTTACATTTCCTATCAAAACTGAGAAATCACATTTTTCGTCAAAATTGAAAAGTTGGATCCCACATCAAAACAGAAAATCGCATTTTCCCGTCAAAACTAAGATATTTTGTTTTCCCGTCAAAATCAATTTTTTTTTGTTTTCTCACCAAAACCAATAATTCACATTTTCCCGCCAAACCTGGAAATTTGATTTTTCCGTCATAACCGAGAAATTATGTTTTGCTACCAAAACTGAAAATCACATTTTCCTACCGAAATCAAGAAATCCCCTACTTCCGACAAAATAGAGAAATTTCTTATTCCCGCAAAAGCCAAGAAAATTTGTTTTCTCGTCGAAGCATGGTTGATGTTGAGCCTACACTTTTTTCAATCATATACGTCTTTGTCAAATAAACAGATAGCTAGAAAATTTTTATTATAATTTATTTGTTGTTATTTATTATTTGGGTTTAGGTTTGATAACAAAAAAAATATTTTTTTTAGTTGTTATTATTTATTATTTGGGCTTGAGTTTGGTAAAAAAAATAAAGATTTTTTTTTTATTTGCTGTTATTAATTATTTGAGTTTGTGTTTGGTAAAAAATAAAATAAAGATTAATAGAAAAAGTATTTGGATTTTTAAAGGGTTTAAGTTTAAAATATAAAAATGAATAGATGAGTTGTATTAATAAAATATTTTGATCGATCATTATTTTTGCTGAGATGTCATGTTTATAACGCTTCAAAAAGCTGATGTATCAAGCTATGGATAGACATAAATGTTATTGTTGTGTTGATATTATCATTTTGAAATCTCAAAAAATATACAGAGAAAATCTCGCTTGGAAAAAATACAGCATGCTTCGCTTTAATTTTATTTTCTCGGCTTTTGTAGGAAGTGTGCTCTGCTTTTTCCAGTAAAGGAAAAAAAAACACTTCCTTTAATAAAATCTTTCCCGAGAATAATAAATTCCTTATCAGAGTCACACTGATCTTGATCGATTTAAATGAGAAACAGCGAAAACTCCACTCCTAAGATAAAAGTAATGAAGAAAGGTTTGATTTCTCAGACAGAGCTTCCAAGAATCTTACGGATCTCCGTCACTGATCCATACGCCACTGAATCATCATCCAGCGACGACGACGACGAAGAAGAATACCACAACATGGTCTCGAAACGACGACGTATCAAGAGATACGTTCATGAAGTAACCTTTGACTCGCCGTCGTATTCTATTGAAAACCAAAACGTTGCAGTTTCCAAGAAAATAGGAAACTCAGGTTCGACGGAGAAGAAGAAGAAGAAGTACCGAGGAGTTCGGCAACGGCCGTGGGGTAAATGGGCGGCGGAGATACGCGACCCGACTCGCCGTGTACGGCGATGGCTCGGAACGTTTAACACGGCGGAGGAAGCTGCTAAAGTTTACGATCACGCCGCCATACAGATACACGGCAAAGCCGCTGTTACTAATTTTGCTACCGATTCTATTCCGGCGGAGCCACTGTGCGTCGCCGCCTGTATCCAATCTCCGACTACAGTTCTCCATTCCCCGACTTCCTCTGATTCCTTGTCGAATTCGCCGGCCGGAGGAGAAGATCGCATTACCGCGGGGACGGAGACGTTTTTCCCGCCAGTTGATTCCGTTTTTCTCGGTACTGAATTCGATTATTCAGTTGAAGAGTGTTTCTCTGTCGGGTTCTCAAATCGGAACATGGAGGATCGTTTTTATGATATTGGTGATTTGTTCAGGTTTGATCATTTTCAAGACTTTGATGATTTCTTTGGGTAAGATCTTATTTACTATGATTTCTTGAGATTTTTGATTTTTTATCCTTTTGAGTTTTGATTTATTTTGTAATTTTTTTTGTCTACTATATTGTGTGCTGCAATGTAAAAAAGCTACATATGTAATTTTTCTCCTTTCTTTACACATTATCCACATCGCTAGTTATATGCATTATCAATATTGCAATCACAACTAACTTTATGAGATATTTAGCAAACGTTTTTTAATGAAACAAAATTCAAATACACTATTTATTTGACTTTAGCAATGTATATAGACTATTTTATTTAGCAGCTAGTAGCAGGTGGCAGTATCTTACACAGCAGATATCGTCCTTTAGCCAAAAACAGAAGCTCGTCGACATTTTGTTTGTAGGCCAAAAACAGAAGCTCGTCGACATTTTGTTTGTGCATTTTCTAGAAATTCCAATGGGTCCTTTTGTTCATCATTATATTATTTGCATATCTTTTTAACGATTTTTGTGTATTTTATCAATAAACGTTTGGCCTATTGGAGAGAGAGGAGCCAAATAAAACTTTTTTTTCCTCAAAGTTGTGAAAATAAGTCAAAAGAGTCAGAGCGACTACAATAAAGTAAACAAACCAACTTCCCGCGCTGGACTCTTTATCGCATTTTCAATTCGAAACGAACGGTCAAGATTCGTTAGTTCCACTTATGTGATGGTTTTAGGAAAACCTGACCGTTGATTATAGATTAGTGCATGTGGATGATCTTATGCGTCAAACTGGGCCTGTCCACGTAAGCTAATGTGACCCACCCGGTTTTTTCCTATTTCTTTTTAATAATTTAATAATTAAATTCATTTATTTTAATATTACATATTTGGCTGATTTAATCACCTCAGATTGTGCCCCGAAAAAGGAAGTTTACCCCAGATAATGTTTAAACCGGTCGGAAATTTTAAAAATCATAGAGATTCAATATTGCCATCAATTGGTTTGCTCCGTTTAGACTTTTCGGTTTGAACCGGATATACACACACATCCGTTCGAATTACGGATGAGACAATTGCTGCTAGGCTTTATTTTCGTTAAACACACACTAGTGGGCTTTCTAAGTTCGGCCCAAATGTGATTCGTTTCTACATTTTCATCTTCCCCTGTAATTTATTTTGAAAAATTAATTATTTACTTCCGAGTTTTCCCACTGGCAAAAGAAATGGTTCGTCTTCCTCGGTGACCGATCAGTGACCAATATCGCCGGAGAGATCTCAGCGTAGGAGAAAAAGATTGCTATAATTTCTGAAAAATCCAAGCTTCACTTCAACACCCAAGTGTTTTCTTTCTTCAGGTATGTAGAACTTTAGTTTGATATAGAGGTGCACAATGTTTAAGGGTTTCTATATATTGAATGGGGTTTTTCTGCTTCTGTCGCTATAAAAGTTTAATCTTCCTTGCTATTTTCTTCTTAGAGCTAGACATCATATTTTAAATATGGTGAATTTCTTGGGGCTTTGCATGTTAAGGGATCCAACCCCAAAGTTTACCTTTTTTTACTTCGAAAAATTCTCTGTAGGTTTGTGGTGTTCATGGGTGAAAGAGAGTTTTTGGTGTTGTGTTACTGGAATGGTTGTACCAAGTTTGGTCCTGATGGTGTATACTATGAAGGATCAGTTCCTAAGATGATCAGTGTCAAGCAAAACACAGAGCTAAGCAGGTTTTTGGATGTGCTTTATCTAGTTACTGGATTAGACAAGCAAAGGTCGAAGCTTGATATAATTGGTAGGTACCCTGTACCCTGGGCTTTATCTATTTCACCCAATCCGTTTTGGTATGTAAGTCTTCCCGTGGTGAATGATAATATTTTGAAGACTATGCTCGAGCTTCCAAGCAAGCATCCTTCAATAAACAGTGTGGAAATGTACTTGCAAGTTAAACGAACTTCTGGTGGTGTTATTGATCCTGCTGCTTCGGAAAATCCCACCAAAAGACATAGGACCCAACAAACCCAAGAAGCTAACGGTTCTGTAGATGCGAATGTGACACATCTAGGTCCTGAAGATTTGGGATCGGAGTTTCTAGCGGATGAGATTGAACGTGTGGTCAGAGTACAGCCCACAGTATCGGTTCCAGAGTTGAAGAAGTGGTGGAAAGAAAAGACTGGCTGTGAGGTTGAAACTCTGGAGATGAAGGAGGCGAAAATGAAGGCGGTGACAAAGATATATGGAGACCGGGACGAGAGTTACAGAGTATTTCCCAAACTAGTGGCTGCGTTACAGTCATCTAACGGTCTGGTTGTGGACTGGCAGTACGATCTTCTCCCTAAACCTGAGCTTGCGTCCTTCCGTGGCGTGTTTTGGGCGTTTTCGCAGTGCCTTGAAGGGTTCCCACACTGCAGACCTCTGATCCTAGTGAACACCAAAGACTTGAACGGTATGACACTGATGGTTGCCTCGGGAGTTGACGCTGACAATTGCATTTTCCATCTTGCATTTGCCGTCACCAAGGAACTATCCGTTGACACTTGGCGCTGGTTTTTCCGTGTGCTCAGACAGAAAGTAACACAAAGGCAAGGCCTTTGCCTCATGTCCAGTCCCCACCCGGACATACTCACTGTTGTTAAGGAACCAGGGTCTCAGTGGCAAGAGCCCTGGGCTTATCACAGGTTCTGTCTTGATCACCTGTGCTCTGAATTCCACGACGTTTTTCAAGACGAGTACCTGAAGAACCTGGTGCACGAAGCTGGATGCACGGCTCATGAGGACGAATTTGATATCCACATGAAGGACGTCGAAAAGAGAAACCCTATGGCTCGGAGATGGTTAGATCAATTCCATCCACAACAATGGGCTCTAGCTCATGACGGTGGTCGAAGATACGGATACACGGATCTAGAGGAAAGTTTTCAGTTTGAAGCCTCGGATAGCATTGAGCTGCTTGGTCTTACGGTACCCATGCTATCTCTTTTTGATGAGATACGAAACCATTTCGCCATATCTTGCTGGAACATCCGTGGTCCTCTTCGCCGTGGCTATCAGTACAGCACACTTGTCATGGAGAAGATTGAAGAGTTTAGAACAGCTTCGGTTACCTACACGATAACAACACTGTTAGACAGAGATGTGTTTCATGTGGCAGAGCCCTCTAAAACTGAAGAATGGTTAGTGCAGTTGAGTAATTGGTTCTGCACGTGTGGAGACTTTGCTGCCAAGTTCCCATGTCTGCACGCTCTAGCGGTCTGCGAGAAGCTTAAAATCAATCCCTTGGTGTATGTAGACGACTGTTACACTCTTGAACGTTGTCAGAAATCATACTCTGCTGAATTTAATACTGTTCCTCAAGTCTCGGCTTGGCCAGAAGCTTTCGGAGTTCCCAGTTTCGTTCCTCCTTTTCTGCCTGATGAATCAAGTATGACCTGAAAGTTAGTTCAGATGGATGCGGAAGAAACGTTAACCAATTCTTTTTTTTTTTTGTGGGGGAAGTGACGATGAAACTGATTTTTTTTTTTTTTTTGTGGGGAAGTGACGATGAAACCAGTTTTTTTTTTCTTGAAAAAGGATTTACTAAACCGGTTTTTTGGGGGTTAATGTTAGGATATCAATTCCATATGAATCGTAAATGGTACTTTTGGTGAGCCCTTAAATCGACAAGCGTAGATCTTTGGTTATCATATCTACATTTTCAAGAGTTATAGTTACAACAATGTATGGATAATTGGATTTAAATAAGATCAACACGTATTAATCCAATTTTCAATGTTTTAGTGCTCACGTAAAGTAGCAGTGACTCATCCATGTTCCCACGATTCCCACCCGTATAAATTATAATGCATAAACATAACATTTTTATGTAGTATGTCTCGTTTTTAGATAGGGTGCTTAGTATCTTTGAACAAGATTAACGAGGAGATTATCACTGGGCTTTATTTGATCACCTATCCAAAGTAATGGGCTTCATAGTTCCAGCCCAATAAAATCCCACTGGGCTTTACATTCTGTGATCCTTCTAGAAGTTTCTATATATATCAAATATCAAGCATCCTTTAATTGAATTGAGAGAAATTATTAATCTAAATAGATAACTGAAAAATGATATCTTTATCTCCGAGAAACTACAGAGGTAGCACCTCCAACGAAAGACTCTTAAAATTATTTCTCATCAAAAAAATTATAAAATAATAAAAAGTAAAAGAGAAATATAAAGCTTTTCTTATTTAACAAGTTTTAGGAAGGGTTTATATATTTTGAAGAGCCTCATGTATTTTGAAGAGCCTCATTCGATGTATGTCAGTTTCTGATTGGTGTAAATTATTTTATAATTTAAAAATTAATATTTTTTTAAATACCTTTATAATCTCCATCCGATGAAGATGGTAAAAGCACATTCCAATAGATTCTTACACCAGTATCTCAACAATAAAATAATTAAATTATTAAAAAATTAAAAATGTATGAGAGAAAAAGAGAATCAACTCTTAAATAAGAACTATTGAGATACGTTTGTGACCATGTCTCATAATTTCAGTGGTTTAACTTTAGGTGAGAGTATTGGATTCAGAAATTGGATAGAATTGTACAGAATTAGAAATTTCATTAAATTCCATTATTCAATTATATATATTCTCAATTCTTTTAAATATCTGTGTTATTGGATTAAAGATTTCTATTCATTCTTTCAAAATTCTTTAAATATCATTGTTATTCAATATACTAATTCTCCAATTCTATTAAATATGTATGTTATTCAATTTTGTAATAACTTTGATTCTATTATCATTTGAAAAGAATTTAATAGAATCTTATATAAAATTTGTACCAGTTTCTACCATTTTTACTTTGATTTTGATAGAATTGGTTTAAATTCCAACAAAACATTTTAAATTATTTAGAAATCAATTATTTTTGAATTATTATACATTCTTCTATCTAATTCAACAATCCAATACCACCTCCTTAATTTTAACATTAAAAATAATTATTTAATTTATTAAAAATCAGTTAATGATATTTAATTGTTGAGATACTCGGAATATGTAACCGATAGAGATGCTCTAATAATTCCTAATTTTGTTTTGTTTGTTGCTATAATCAAGATGGTATTATGATCTCAGTCGCATATTGATTAATTATTCAAAACTGAAGCATAAAGGTTAAACCTTTGATTTTCTTTACTTGCAAATTCGTTGCAGGTTTTGTTGTGGTGATGGACGAAAGAGATGTTTTTGTCTTGTGTCGCTGGAACGGGCGTATAAAGAAGCATGGTCCTAATGGAATACACTACCAAGGATCTACGAGTAGGGCGATTAGAGTTAAGCGCAACACGGAGTTAATCAGATTATTGGATCGGCTTTATCTGATTACCGGGTTTGATAAACGGAGATCGGAGCTTAGAGTAACCGGTAGGTATCCTTCAGCCGCGGGACAATCCCTAAAGTATGTAGGTCTGCCCTTGACAAACGACAGAAGATTGAAGATTATGCTCGAGGCTCCAATGATCCATCCTTGTATGATCCACGTGGAGTTGTATTTGCAAGCAAACCGTGGAGGGTGTTTCACTCATAAGAAGGATCTGAGAGTTTCAAGTTTGTGGCTTGATGATCGAGAATTTCGTGTAGGACTCCGGTTTAAAGATGAAGCTGAGATCAAGAAAGCAGTGGACTGGTTGTCTATCAGAGAGGAGCGCTATTGCAGAGCACAAGAGACTGGTAAGGACATGTGTGCCTTTGAGTGTCTAAGCTGTAATTGCGAGTGGTCAGTGTGTGCGAAGAGAATGGGTGAATGTTTTGAGATAACCAAGTACACTGGTCCACATACTTGTTGTCCTGACGATACAGATGAAAGCGGGTCTGATACAGATGAAAGCAGGTCGGGGTTTGAAGAATGTGAGATTAAACGTGTGGTCAGGTTACATCCCACAGCATTACCTGCCGGCTCAACCGCCTCAACCTCAAGCTTAACCGCATCCAACTAGAGTCTAGAGACTAAACCGTTTCAGGTTTATATATTTTGTAGTGTTGCAAATGAGATATTGCTGCTTTTGTATGTGAAAGTGTAAGGCAAAACTCACTAAACCGAAAGAAGTCTTTTTGCTGAGTGGGTGTGTTTGGTTTTGGATTCCAAACTCTGACAAGTTTTCTTATCTCGGCCCAATGAATTTTATTTCGGCCCACTTTGTTTTTGTTTTTACCCAAAAATGTTAATCAACCGGTTTGGCTTCCAGAAATTAAAATTTGGTTCTCTATAAAAAAAATGTTAATTGATTTGAATCAAAACAGCGATTCCATCATTTAAATCGGTTTTGCCGAAATTGGTTGAACCGGACATGTGGTCCGGACTACGGTGAGTTTTTTTTTTTCTCGGCGGGTTATGCTTTACTAATGGGCTTTTCTTGCCTCGGCTCAGAGATACTTTCTCACTCTCGTTAGTTTTTTACATTCCGTAATTATTTCAAAAAATTGTATTTATTTCACATTCTGTCAGAAGAAAACATAGATACAGCTACAGACTTTAGTTTAGAGTGTGAGAGTGCCTTTTGTCTTCCTCCGTGGTAACATCACCGGAGAAATCCTTAATCAACTGGAATTATTCCATTTCTGAGATATTGAAGCTTCCTCGCGACACCAAACTCGAAAGATCTTCGCTTTCTCAGGTATGTAGTAGATATCTTAGATGACTAAATTTTTTTTTTGGTTTTTAGGGTTTTTGTATTTTCTCTTGATTGATCTGATTTTTGTGGCTGATATCCCTCCTAGCTGTTCTTTTAGGTTTCTTTATACTTGGAGTTGTAGTATTAGCGACAGGGCTTGCTTTTTAGGTTTTTTTTTGTTTTTTGTTTTTTCCTGCTTGATTAATCTGCTTCTGTTGCTGATACTTTTGTTTTTATTGATTCAATGATATCTATCATTTGATTTTGGAGGTTCTCAGTGTCATTGTTTAGGGTTTATGTTTTTTTATATCGGCTTCTGCCTCCTTTGTTTCTGTTTTGCATGTTGGGGATTTAGGCCTAAAATTTTGACTTTTTACTTTGACATATCTGTAGGTTTGTGGTGCTCATGGGTGAAAGAGAGGTTTTGGTGTTGTGTTACTGGAATGGTTGTATCAAGTATGGTCCTGATGGTGTATACTATGAAGGATCAGTTCCTAAGAAGATCACAGTGTCAAGCAAAACACAAAGTTAAGCAGACTTTTGGAGGGGCTTTATCTAATTACTGGATTAGATAAGCAAAAGTCAAAGCTTGATATAATTGGTAGGTACCCTGTAGCTGTTTCACCCAATCTGCTTAGGTATGTACATCTTCCCGTGGTGAACGACAGTATTTTGAAGACTATGCTTGAGGTTCCTAGCAAGCATCCTTCTGTAAACAGTGTGGAATTGTATTTGGAAGTTAAACCAACTCCTGACGATGTTATTGATCCTGCTGCTTGTTCATCGCCTTTGGAAAATCCTGGTAGTTCCTCAAAAAGACAGAGGACCCAACAAAACCAAGAAGCTAACGGTTATGTAGATACGTATGTGACACATCTAGGTGTTAAGTTAGAAAGGGTTGATGAGTTAGAGGTTCAGGGAGTGGAAAACAATAATGCGTGGACTGAAGATGAGGCAAATGCGGACAAGGGTTTGAGTGTGCCAGGCTTAGAGGCGTCGGCAAATGCATGCGTGAGTGAAGGCGTCGGTTCAAGTGCTGCAAAACCGCTGTCTCTGTCTAGTTTGTGGGTTGATGATCATGAACTGCGTGTAGGGTTGCGTTTTAAAGATAGAGATGAGCTGAAGAAGGCGGTGGAATGGTGCTCCATTAGAGGGGATCAGAAGTTTGTAGTACAAGAGACCGAGAAGGACGAGTATATGTTTGAGTGCATCAGATGGAAGTGTAAGTGGTCACTTTGTGCAGCTAGAATGGAAGAAGGCGGTCTTGTTGAGATAACTAAGTATAGTGGTCCACATACTTGTTGTCCTTTGGGGTCAGAAAATGTCAACGTGGAACTTGCAGCAGAGGAGATTGAATGTTTGATCAGGGTACAACCCACAGTGACAGTTGCAGAGTTGAAAAATTGGTGGTTTGAAAAATTCGGCTACAAGCTTGAAAGTGCAGAGATGCAGGCAGCGAAACAGCAAGTGATAAAGAAAATATATGGAGATTGTGATCAGAGTTTCCGAGTATTGCCCAACCTAATGGCTGCGTTACACTCATCTAACGGGCTGGTTGTGGACTGGCAATACGATGTTTTTCCTAATCCTGAATTTGCATCCTTTCGCGGTGTGTTTTGGGCGTTTTCACAGTCCGTTGAAGGGTTTCAACACTGCAGACCTCTGATCATAGTGGACACCAAAGACTTGAAGGGAAAGTCCCCTATGAAACTGATGGTTGCCTCTGGACTTGACGCTGACGAATTCTATTTCCCGCTTGCATTTGCGGTTACCAAAGAAGTGTCGTCAGATACTTGGCGTTGGTTTCTCACTGGAGTCAGAGAGAAGGTAACTCAAAGGAAAGGTCTTTGCCTCATCTCCAGTCCCCATCCGGACATTATCACTGTTATTAATGAACCCGGGTCTTTGTGGAAAGAACCCTGGGCTTATCACAGATTCTGTCTGTATCATCTGTGCTCCCAATTCTATGACGTGTTCCAAAGCTGCCGCCTGAACAGCCTTGTGAAAGAAGCTGGTTTGACGTATCGGCATGATGAATTTGATTCGCACATGGACACTATTAAAAAGGAGAACCCAGAAGCTCGGCGATGGCTAGACAAACTGCCACCACATCAGTGGACTCTTGCTCATGACGGTGGTCGGAGATGTGGATACACGAGTATAGATTCAGAGACTTCGTTTTCAATCTGTGAAAGCTTTCAGTCTCCTGGTTTGCCAGTGACAGCGACTGCACTATTTCTGTTTGATGTGCTGAGATTAAATTTTCAAATCGGTCTTCGTGATAGCCGTGGTAGGCTTAAACGCGGAGATATGTACACCAAACCAGTCACAGACAAGCTCAAAGAGTTTACGACAGCTTCTGTTACAGACGTCGTAATGCCCTTAGACAATAATTCGTTTCAAGTCACAACACCATTAAAAATGAATGGATGGATCGTTCGGCTGAGTGACTGCACCTGCACGTGTGGGGAGTTTCAATCAGAGAAGATTCCATGTCTACACGCTCTAACTGTCTGCGAGAAGCTCAAAATCAATCCATTGGTGTATGTAGACGACTGTTTCACTCTTGAGCGACTTCACAAAACTTACGCTTCCACTTTTTCTCCTGTTCCGGAAGTATCAGCTTGGCCGGAAGCTTGTGGAGTTCCGACATTGTTTCCTCCGGTCATTCCGCCACCACCACCACCTCCGACTAAAGTATCAGGTTAGTCAAAACAAAAAGCTTAGGATTGTGGGTGGAATATTACTTATTGTCCTGATTGGTGATTATGTAGTATCTTTTACTACATAATATATGGTAGTACCATATGTGTTAGCTCCTTTTGTTTCTGAAATCTGAAATTAAATCATGTTCGATAGTTGTGCTTTTGGTGATACCCTAAACTAAGAATCCATTAAATCCTAAATTCAGTATGACTTTGTTAAAAGGCCAAAAACGTGAATGAAAACTGAAGTAACACCTGGTAAACACTACTAGTTACATTGTAGTGTCATTTGCTATACAATGAAGCTTCATAATATTCATAAGCATGAACTTTTAGGAGAACGGAAGAAGAGTGATACAAGTCCAAAGGCATCCTCTAAAAGGAAGACGACTGAAGAACCTACCAAGGAGCAGTCAAAATCTGCATCAAAGGAGAAACCAGGTTTCGTCATCATCCATTTTTATACATCTTTCATTAAGACAAAAAAAAATCCTTATCCTCTTATTGTTCTGTCAACATGTTTTATCTAGTTAAAGAAAAAGGGAAAGACATAACCAAGAAGCCTCCTCCTAGTGATGCAGAGCTGAGAAGTGCAATTGTTGATGTCTTGAAAACGATGGACTTTAAAACAGTGAGCATTTGAAAAAATTCTCTGTGTTAAGGATTTATACTGTTAGAAGATAGATGCCTAACAATAGCTTTGTTATTTTCTGACAGGCAACGATCACTGACGTCCTCCAGGGACTTGGTGAGTTAAGAACTTAAGATCATATGCTTTTTTTCTTCACCGATGATTTCTTCTTTGTAATTTTGCATTTGTTTCAATCTGTTTTTCAGCTGACAAGTTCAAAATCGATCTCAACTCAAGAAAGTCATCTATAAAGTTTATGATCGAAGATGAGATCAATAAGCTTGCAAACGAGGCCGGGGATATGGATGAAGAAAAGAAGAAGAAGAAGAAGAGGAGGAAGAAGAAGAAGAAGTAGAGGGAGTAGTAATGTTTAAATAAGCAGTTTGCTTGTGTATGAAGTAGATGGATTCTTCCCTATAACATATCCGTTGACTTAACCGGTTCAGGTTATTCTAGTAAGAAGAAGAACCGGAAATTCGATAGACTTAGCCAGACTTATGAATACACCGGTTCAGGTTTGCTTTTGTATGTGAATGAAAATAAATCCGGTTTGTTAATTTTATTCTCGGAGATCGTTTGGCTGTACAAATTTGTTGAACCGGATATATAAACCCGTTCGACTCGCGAAGAGTTATTTGCTTGCTAGGCTTTATTTTCCTAAAACACATATTAATGGGCTTTAGTATTTCGGCCCAACAGATATTTGTTACCCTCTGTAATTATTTTGAAAAGCTGCTATATTTGTGAGTTCGTGCCGGAGGAGCCCTAACGAAAGGTCAAATTAGTTTCATTTCTGTATAGATTTACTTCGACACCGGAAGCGAGAATCTCCGATATTTCCAGGTCTTTAGAACTTTACAAAGTCTTTAATTAGTTTGATTTTCATTTGTTTTTAGGGTTTTTGAATGAGTTTAACCCTAAAAAGTGACACACCGTGTCGCTTGTCGCTTGATATGGAGCTCTCTTTAGAAGTTTTTGCCCTATTTTTTTGTTATTTACATTCTACTTTGAATTTTCTTGCAGGTTTGTTCATTTCCAATGGAAAATCCAGGTAGCTCTTCAAAAAGACAGAAGAGGACACAACAAGTAGCAGTGGGTGAAAAAACCAGTCCTGTGTCTGGTTTGTGGCTTGAGGATAACACAGTGCGTGTGGGATTGTGTTTTAAAGGCATAGATGAGCTGAAGAAGGCAGTGGACTGGTGGTCCATTAAGAGGCAGAAAAATTGTTTGGTAAGAGAGATCGAGAAGGACGTGTATACGTTTGAGTGTGTCAGGTGGGGATGCAAGTGGTCAGTCTGTGCAGCTAGAATGGAAAAAAGGTGGTCTCTTTGAGATAACCGAGTGTAGTGGTCCACATACTTGTTACTCTGACTCTTCAGAAGATTTTGAAGTGGAGTTTTTAGACTATGAGATTGAACGTGTGGTCAGGGTACATCCCACGCTCTCAACTGCAGAGTTGGATAAGTGGTGGAAAGAAAAATTTGACTATGCGCTTAATCAAGTGATGGAGCATTGTTCGGAAGCATATTTGCAGGATGCGAAAGAGAAAGCTATCAAAAGAGTCTTTGGAGATTGGGATCAGAGTTTCAGATTCATGCCCAAGCTAATGTCTGCGCTTCAGTCTTCTAACGGCCTGCTCGTGGACTGGCGATATGATTCTTTGCCTGATCCTGAACACACGACCTTTGGAGGAGTGTTTTGGGCGTTCTCACAGTCTATCCAAGGGTTTCAACATTGCAGACCTCTTATCGTTGTGGACACAAAAGACTTGGGCGGTAAGTACAATATGAAACTCATGATTGCCTCCGGGTTTGATGCAGCCAATAAATTCTTCCCGCTTGCCTTTGCTGTGACTAAAGAAGTATCCATTGATACTTGGCGTTGGTTTCTCGGTGAAATCAGAGGGAAGGTAACGCAAAGGCAAGGGCTATGCCTCATCTCCAGTCCCCACCCGGACATAGTCGCTGTTGTTAACGAACCTGGGTCTATGTGGCAAGAACCTTGGGCTTATCACAGGTTCTGTCTGGATCATCTGTGGTCCCTATTCTGTAGCGTTTTTCCAGACTATTACGAGATGGAGTGTCTTGTGAGGAAGGCTGGGTCGACGAGCCAGAAGGAAGAATTCGATTCCTGCATGACGGAGATCAAAGAGAAGAACCCTGAAGCTTGGAAATGGTTTGAACAATTTCCTCCACATCAGTGGGCTCTGGCTCATGACAGTGGTCGGAGATACGGAGTCATGAAGATAAATACAAAAGCTCTCTTCGCTGTTTGTAAAAGATTTCCGAAAGTTGCAATGGCAGGTGGTGTGATGCTTCTGTTTGGTGAGCTGAGAGACGCTTTCGAAGAGTCTTTTAGCCGTAGACGTGGCTCTCTTAACCGCGGCGAAGTGTACACGGAACATGTCATGGAGAAGCTCACGAAAGATTCCGTTACTTTTGTTATAAAGCCGTTAGAGAGAGATGCATATCAGGTCTCAACGGTCTCGAAAAAGAAGAAGCCGTTGCTTTTGGGTCAGTCGGATGACTCAACCTGCGAGATTGTTCAGTTGAATGACTCAACCTGCACGTGTGGTGAGTTTCAAAGGAAGAAGTTTCCATGTCTGCACGCTCGAGCTGTCTGCGATAAGCTGAAAATCAACCCTTTGCAGTATGTAGACGACTGTTACACTACTGAACGCTATTACAAAACTTATGCGGCCAATTTCAATCCTGTTTCGGAAGTCTCGGCTTGGCCGGAAGCTTCTGGAGTCCCAACATTGCTTCCTCCACCTAAAGTATCAGGTAAGTCTCTATGTTAAACAAATCCGCACTTGTAAGAAGAAGAGCTGAAAGTAATTATAAGGCTTATACAATATATATATATATATATATATATATGTCTTACTAATTCTATTTCTGTAGTATCTCTTATACTTGGGAAGTATAGGGTTTAATCAGTTCATGTCCTTATTGTTGTTAGCGTTGTAAAGGAGATATATATTGTGTTATTATTTGTCTGACACCATGTTTGTGTTATCTTGTAAAAGGAAAAGGGAAAGAGACTGAGGATGATCATTTGGAAGAAGATGAAGAAGATGATGATTGTGATGGTGATGGTTATGGTGATGATGATTGTGATGATGGTTATGGTGATGGTGATGATGATGGTGATGAAGAAGAAGATGAGTGGTAGCGTTCAAATAAGCACCTTGCTTGCGTAATAGGATTTAGCATCAGATCAGTACGATTCATTTCATATTTCATGCTATTTTTAAACATCCTTTCGATTATTATTTTTGGGTTTGGTTTTCTAGTTGAGAAGAAGAACGGTTCAGGTTATTATTGCGTTGCTGCTTTTGTTAGTTATTATATTCTCGGTGAACCCAACAGTTGAAAACCTCAAAAGAATTGCCTGAAGTTGAGATGGGAGAAAATGCTTTGGTCATATCTAATCAATCGATAACGATTACTTGGCTTGATTTAAACATTCAGTAAAAAAAAACATCCTACTTATTAGGTTATAATGAAGGCAAGTTAATTGTTGATTAGTAAGCTTACTTTAAACGCAAGTAATAAGTTGAAAATACCAAAGAGCTTCGTCTTATTCTTCTTCGCGCTAGAGAGGACAAGTACCGTCGATGTACAGGACGGATAAGGAGAAAAGAGAGGCCGTGAGCCACCAAGATTGTAGCCATTGGTGCTTGCCTGGTCTAACGAAATGAGGATTTTATTTTTTCTCGACAAATCTTTTTGTATCAGTGCACCAAGAAATCACAATTTTACTGGTTGCTACATAATTGTGTATAGGAAAGAATTTTTTATCATAATATATTCGAGAGATATGAGAAAGAAACTCAGAATTAATATAACTATTATTATTCTTATTGAGTTATTTCAAGAATCCATGGCATGCATAATTATCGATTACAAAAGCATCTAAAACCAAAATTCAAAAGATTGCTATACTCTTATATTTTGTATCTTCGAAATCATCGATAACGAGGAAGTACCCCTAACAAAAAAAACAAAAACAAAATTAAAGAATGTAATTATTATGAATCATTCTCAGGCTATAAGAGCATCAGTATTGGAGATATCCTGATGGGAAACTCTTAAAAAAATTTATTATAAAAAATTTAATTTTTGTTATTAAAAAAAATGTGACAAATTATATGTTGCCACGTCACATGATAGGCGCTTCTTCCACCCCTATAGAGAAAAACGATTCTAACTTTTAGTTTCTACATGTCTTTTTTCTTTAGAACCTCTTAGAGCATCAGCAACGTAGAAATCATACCAATCTTTTCTAAAAAATATTTTAATAATATAATTAACTTTTACAATTAAATTATAAATAATTAAAAGAACAAATTAATCATTGCTTGCCATTTGTATAGAGACGACTTCTGAAAACTCCTATATCAGAATCGCCTCTCATTCTCTCTCCATCTTTTTTCTTTTTTTATAATATTTTATTATTTAAAATGTTTATTAAATCTCCCCCTTAGAGATGGTCTAATACTCTAAGGCACATGAAGCTTAAGTTTTTAGGACACAATTAGTATTTAAACATTTATCAGACTATATATCATAATTTTCTGCATTGGTTCAATGGCAACATATAATTCTTTTTGAATTTTTTAAGAAGATTTAATGACTCCATCGATAATTTGGTATACAGATTTCTAATTTAATATTTATTGTTTTTCTTTTAAAACTTTTAGTAATTCTTTCTTCATTTTTTAGCATTTTTATCAAAAAAATCAATATATTTTTATTAGTTTATAATCATATATAGTTCAGTTTTAATTATTAACTATCATCAATTAACTTACAACTGATTAAAAGCCTGTTATGTTTTGCTAGAAATACACAAGAATTCATGTTATTCCATTGATTTTTATCATTTTTTTTATGAAATAATTTTTAGAATTTAAATATAATCACTTTTAGAAGCAATAATTTCAAACCTAAATAGATTTTTTTTCCAAAAAATACTACAAATTTATTGAAACACTTTACATGTTTTGTTCTATATAAAATAAAACAAGATATATTTTTATTAAAAAATATTGTAATAATAAAATAAAAATAAAAATTTCTAAATATTTATAGGCCACATTTTTTCATATTGCTTTAAGCCTCTAAATATTTAGGGATGTGTGCTGATCATTCCAACAAATAATACTGTATTAAATTTAAAAGAAAACATATTAAATTACGTAGGAGTAACGGTTTTTTTTTAAAGTACTTTTCGTACAAACAATCTAAAAGTGCAAGGACAACGCAGACGACGCCGGAGATAGTGCTGATGGCTACAAGAACATTGGTGATCATCATATTACTTCTTACAAACAAAAATCTAGGGAAAAACGCATAAAAAACCTTGAAAGTGGTACGCACTGACACTTTAAACTTTAGAGGTATTTTAATAACACTTTAAACCGTCAACTAAATTTTATTAACATAAAAAACTTTCGAAGTGGCTTCCGATTCCACAACCTTAGAATTTTGAACGGAATAGTAAACTCCGTTAAAGGAGATTTAACATCTGTTTAAAAAGTTATTATCACCGTTTAGCAATAAAAATGGCTATGGTTCATGTGACATACTTTGACCATCTATTTGTTAATTGGAACCTCCACTGAACAGTACACTCTCCACTTGCAACCGTCTTCACAACAAATCGTAGTTATTCTATTGGCCTCTGATTTTGCCATTTTAACATCATATCGCATGTTTAGTGAGTAACGGAGAAGAATAAATCTGTGGGAAACAACAACCAGTGATGAAGATATTATTTTCTAATTTAATTTTAATAAAAAAGTATAAAATTGCATTACTTGTTTAAAAAATGGTGCAAAGGAAATATATCTAGCATCACATATAATAAGTGATGCGAATCCTTTTTTTTTTTAAAACTATTTATGTCTGTTTTGTAAGTGATGCTATATAACTGATATGCAAAATAATTATTTTCTAGTAGTGGATGATGATGAAGAAGAAGATGAGTGGTAACGTTCAAATAAGCACCTTGCTTGCCTAATAGGATTTAGCATAAGATCCGTAGGATTTCATTTCATCCTCTCTTGAAACAGCCTTTTGATTATTATTTTTGGGTTTGATTTTCTAGTTAAGAAGAAGAACAATTCAGGTTATTATTGCGTTGCTGCTTTTGTATACGAAAACCTCAAAAGAATTGCCTCAAGTTGAGATGGAAATAATGCTTTGGTCTTATCTAATCAATCGATAATGATTTTGAGGATTGCTTATTTTAAGCATTCAGGAAAAAAAAACATTACTTATTAGATTATAATGATGAACTGAAGGCAGATTAATTGTTGATTAGTGAGTTTACTTTAAACGCAAGTAATAAGTTGAAAATACCAAAGCTTATTCTTTTTCGCGCTAGGGAGGAGAAGTACCGTCGTCCGTCGATGTACATGACGGAGAAGGAGAAAAGAGAGGCCGTGAGCCACCAAGATTGTAACCATTGATTTTCAAAAAAAAAAAAAGATTGTAACCATTGGTGCTACTGGTTTAACGAAATGAGGATTTTTTTTTCTCGACAAATCTTTTTGTACCAATGCACCAAGAAATCACAGTTTTACGGGTTGCTACATAATTATGTATAGGAAAGAAATTATTATCATAATATATTCGAGAGATATAAGAAAGAAACTCAGAATTAATATAACTATTATTATTCTTATTTCAATAATCCATGGCATGCATACAAATAAAGAATCATTAAATCGATTAAAAAAGCATCTAAAACCCAAATTCAAAAGAGTGCTAAACTCTTATATTTTGTATCTTCGAAATCATCGATAACGAGGAAGTATGAAACCCCTACCAAACAAACAACAACAAAATTGAAGAATGTAATTATCATGAATCATTCCAAATATATATATTAAAATTTAAAAGAAAACATATTAAATTACGTACCTATTTTAGTCCACCGTAAGAGTAACAGGGTTTTTTTTAATGCACTTTTCGTACAAACAAGCTAGAACGACCAAGATGACTACGAAGGAGACACCGCCTATGCATCCGAGAATATTTTGGATATGATTATCCATATTGCTCCTTACAACCAAAAATCGATGAATGCCTTTAACAAAAAGAATAGTTATGTTTTGTATTTCTCTGTCTAAGTATATATATATAGTTATTTATACACCGTTAGTATATTAAAAGAAAATATCTATATATCTTACAATTTCCATAAAAGTAAACTTTCCATCGTTTTATATATATTTTCGATATTGAAAAAATAAATGAAAAGGATGGACTATTGAAGTTACAAATCTATGGTGGATTTTTTTTTTATAGAGATTTATGGCGAATCTTTGTGAAATATTTAATTTTTTCATTAAAATATTATCTTTGTAGTTGTTTCTTTAATCTGCACTCAAACGATTAGAAAAGAAAGAAATAAATGGAAACTTGCACAAAAACAAATAAAAAATTTGGGAACAGTACCTTTATAAATCATCACAACCGGTGCGACATTTATTAAATTTATTGTTAATTGTATAGTATAAACATTTTTAATATATTGTACTGTGAACTTTCGTATTTCCTTTTTACATATTGGACATTTCTAATATAGTATTACTTGCACAAGTTTTTGACAGTTTTCCTTTCTTCATATCGGATTTGTACGTACTTTCGTATTTCACATGTGCTCTTAAAAGCTTGTGCGGCTCTTTGAAAGCATGAGAGTTGGGACAAAACATTCACGTGCGGAAGAAGACACAAACCTGTGGAGAAGGCCTGTCTTTTCGTCACTGGGAACATAAGCACTTAGGACATCACAATTAGATAAATGTCTAATCAGCATGCTCTGGACATAATCCCTAGGAAGCGAAGTGTCCTAATAATAATTTGATAAAATTTATCAACATGCATGACAAGAACATAATATATATATATATATATATATATATATATATATATATATATATATATCTTAAAAGACAAAAATCTCCAAACAAAATTTACTTGCGCTGTACTTCATTCTCTGCGTCTCTCATAGGAGCCCAGACATGGTCATGAAACGGGTAAGGCTCAACGACTAACATGTGTCCTCCCATGTAACTTCCACTAAGTTTCAACGCCTTCTCTTATACACCTTCTCCCCGATGATAAATCAATGCAAATCTGTCAAAAACAAATAAACTTAAGAGTTAATGTAACTTTAAAAGCTGAGAAAGAAAGAAAACTGGAGGAAAGACGCCACAAACCTGTTGAGTATAGGGGTGACGACGAATCCGGGAATATAAACGTATATCACCTCTCCACATGAAGTCAAGTGTTCATTCAAAG